GGTTGCACATCCTTCTAGTTGCTGTATGTGGGACACGGCCTCAGCATGGCCGGAGAAGTGGTGCGTCAGTGCACGCACGGGATCCGAACCCCGGGCCGCCAGTAGCGGCGCGCGCGCGCACTTAACCGCTAAGCCACGGGGCCGGGGGCCATGGGGTTTTTAAAAAGGTCTACAAATGTGTGTGGAGCTGGAGCACCATCTGGGTCTCCTGACTTGTCAGTCTCAGCTCTTACCTTCGTGTTTTCCTCCACCCGCCACATGTGGTCCTCATTGGCCCAGGTGGTACCTGCTTGCTGTTTTCAGGGGCTTGGGATGCTTTTAGGTCCCTTGCAAATTTAGCAGAAACGGCCGTCTGTCTCACAGCTCTGCCGCAAGACACAGCAGCTGAGACCCAGGAAAGGGGCTAGCTGCCTTCTGGTTTCTACGCAGCCCCAGTTCCCTCATGTGCTTTCTGACCTCATTTTTTCCCCTCAGTTGCTTGCAACACCAGCTGAAAAAGTTTCTGGGACACAGCCACCTGGTCTGCGTGCTTCAGGTGGCACGTGTGTTCTCGCTGATATGGGGCGAGTGAGACAGGAACGTGTGTGGTGGGTGGCATGATGCATAACAAAGAAGGAGAAAGTCCAGCCCTGCGAGGCCCATTTGTGTTGGGGCAACGTTTGTGTTGGGGATGGTGAGAGGCAGGGGGAGGGAAAGATGGAAAAGCTAATGATGAATTGGTGATGCTGGGGAAGTGGGCCAGGTTCTTGCCCTGTATATGGTTTTTCTCTGAGCTTGTTATTTGGGGAAGCGAAGTTGGCTAGTGAATTTTCTCCTAGAATCAACTCCTAGCTCCTACAGGGTCTTGAAAGTGAGCTGCCAAGCCAGCACATGCTGGGAAGAATCATGGCCATGGATCGTTTGGAGACAGACAAAACGAGCCAGAAATCAGTGTACCAAGGACTATCTCTAGTTGACAATTAACAAGGCGGTGAAAGAGGGCATGTAATTTAGAGTGGAAAGTGTTGAGTCACTTCAATAACAGTAACAGCTAATATTTATTGAGCACTTAATAGGAGCCAGTCACCATCCTAAGAGCTAGTTGACACGAATCATCTCATTTATTTTCACAGCGACCCTCTGAGGTAGGTACTACTATTATCTCCAATTTACAGATGTGGAAGTGGAGGTCCTGAGGTTTAAGTGACTCATCCAAAGTACACAACTATTGAGGGGCAGAAGCAGGGTTTGAATTCTGATATTTTTCAAATCTAAGTTCACAAATTCTTAGCTTTGCTGCTTTACTGCCTGTCCTAATTCAGAAATATTATTAAAGGATAACAGAGTGAGGAGGAAGAAAGATCAGCTCTTCAGGAGCCCACAATCTTCTCCAAGACCAGCAAAGTTCCTTTGGTTTGACTGCAGTACGGGAAGGCATAAGAACTAGTGGGATTTTCATTGCCAGGGGCCCTCCAGGAGTCTGTTGATCTTACCTGTTTTCTTGAAATAATTGCATGCTGTGGAAACCTATAGCCATTTCTCAAGTTTTCTTTTTACACAATCAACTTGGGAGTGTTTTAGACAGGTAGGCACAATGGACTATTTTTTCTCTCTTGAGCTGGCACCATGTAGTGTGACTCTTGGTTCCACCCTAGCATACTGGTTGGCACAAGAAGTACCAGGCCATTTTGAGCCAACAAAAAGATCTTGAAGAGCTTGTTTTTCAGATGAGCCTAGGTGAGCAGAACAGAATTTGGGCCTAAAAAGCTCATGGACAGGAAGTTAAATGAACTCTTTCAGAGTGCCACGTTAACACTGAGTCCTCTGTAAGAGGTGTTTTACAAAATGGTACCCTGCGACAACAGGTTATTTATGCCCTCTTAGGAGAGTACTTTATACTTAGTATTATTCTGGCCTGGACTCATCATAGACTCAACTTCAATAATAATACCTATTACATTCCCCTGCAAGGCCTATCACTCCTTCTGTGTTTTGCAGAATGCCTCACGCATGGCAGGGCACAATAAACAGTCAATAATAATGTTTACTGTGATAATGATCTTCCAAATGCCCTTTATTTAAGGATCTCAAAGTGCTTTGCAAACAATAGTTAGTTAAAACTCACAATGGCTCTCCATTTTTACAATACATTTTCCCACTTTACAGAACTTTAAATTGAGACCCAGCAAACTTAAATGGCTTGCCCAAAGTCATACAGCAAGTGTAAATTAATGATAGTGATGATGATTTGCATTTACATGGGATGTTTTCTAAGGCGATATGAGTACGTTGCAAAGATAATCTTCACGCTATCCTGGGGAAGGTGGGTAGCAAGTATTATTAACTGTTGACTAGATTGGGTAAACTGAGGCTGAGAGAGCAAGTAATTTGGTGAGGATTTGACAGAGGATGCAAGTCCACTACTCTGACTCGCAGAACAGTGTGGCATCCCAGACAAGCCTCAATTCTCTGAACTGAGGGATGCACGATTGCTTTCACACTTACAGGAAAGACAGCTATATTTGGGGGGGTAGGGCAGGTTGCAGAATGAGAGCCATATTTACATCCACGAATGGGTTTGTGCACATCCCCACTAAGAGAGGCAAAAGGGATGAGATGAGGCACTTCAAGAAAGGTGGGCTCAGGAAATGAAGGAAACAGAAGCCGCTGGGGGTGGCTGCCAGCTCTGTTCTTTTGCAGAGCACCTTCACTAAAACAGGTTCTGCCTGAAAGCAGGAGCCTGAAACGGCAAGGTTCTGTGTTTCAGCCTCACAACAGGACTTGGTCCAGTGTGGCTTAGAGGAAGGGCACAACCCCATCACTGGCACCTTGGTCTGATGTTACAAGTCCCTTTGAAAGAGTTCCAAGGACACGCAGTATCTTAACGTCTGTCTCTTACATATGACTAGCTCTCATCCCCACAGCTCCCTATGCCAGGAGGGGCCTAGGAATCCTCTATGGTTCAAAAACTTGGTAGCTGTGGATCTATGTGTTGCTACCTTTTCTCAGCAACATAGCCACATCGAAAAAGATGAAAACACGAACAAAAATATTCAAAGGCGATAAGAGACTTGCCTCCTCCCAGTCTGGCAACACTTCCTTCACGAGCGATGGTACTCCACTGGGAGGCAAAGTCAGACTCTGCAGGGTGGGGGAGGGGAGAGGTGTCTGGGTCTTAGGAATTCAAAGGGAGATAAACACGGCATGTTTGAGAAAAGTTTGCTCCCCTCCCCCACCCTGCCTTTTCCAGGCCTGTGGATTCTGATTGATGACTAGACCTAGGGCTAACAGGGAGCCTTAAAGAATGGCGCCAAGCCCTCTTCTGGAATGTGTTCACACACACAAGCACGACGGCAATAGTCTGCAGTGAAGAAGTCACACCAATGTCCCGCTTCTTCCCAAGGGAATTTTTGAAGGTTTCCACACTCCCCTACTGCATGGGCACCTTGAAGGTGCAGTGAACCGGTGAGCTATTGGAAGGAACATTTTAGAAAGTTGTTCTGAACGCACATCACGAGCCTATTCTCCTGTGTGGGGAAGGAATCTTGGAAGACCCTCCCACCCGCTGTGACTTCCCAGCAGGGAGTCGTGGGACTCTGCTGCTAGTATTAAAGCTTGCTCTCAGCAAGACTTCACAGAATGAGGCTTTGACTTTCTAAGGATGCCAGCGACCCAGGCCACAGCTTGCCGTGTCCACTTTGGCACACTGACTCTAGGGGTGACAGTGCAAATAATCCTGCCAGACTCACAAGGACCACGTCCTTCTCTCCAGACGTGCCTTACACAGCTTGCCACAACCAGGCTCACAGCCAGGCCAGATACAGTCCTCAGGATGCGTCTGCATGGCTGCACAGAGCGATTCGAATTATCCCAACACCAAAGGCGTTACTGGGTGATCTCCTGTGCGGCTCCACTGGGCCTGTTCATTTTTCTATTGCAGCCGCGGAGGTGCATTTTATGCGTGTTTTGTTCATTTTGTAAAGTAAGACACATCTGTGGGGCTCCGGCACAGGACTGCTGTACTTCACAGCCCAGCCTTTCCTGTCAATAAGTCCACCCACATACACGCATCCCTCTCGCGAGTTCTTTGAGCGTCAAGTATCTTGATAGCTTTGAATGGATTATGAATGAGCATTGTCATAACAGCACTTTACAACTGGGGGTGGGAAGATGGATTTGGGCAAAATTCAAACAACACTTGACATTTGGGAACTTCTCAGAGATTTCAAGAGCAACAAGCACTTGGATTTTTCTCTTTTCCCATCCTCCATGCATTTCCCATGCACCGGTTTGGCCTCAGAACAGCAGAAATGCAAGATCAAAAATATACTCAAGAAGGCTTTCCTTGCCCTATTACCTTCTGAACAAGAGGCAGGGAGAACCTAGAAAGCTTTCACAGTTTTAAGGAGAATTCCTAGATGGATTAGATAGGCTCACTATTCCACCAAGTTTCAGAAAAATGATCACTGCCCACAGAAACTAATCTCTGGGGAATCATCGGCAGCCCTCTTTGAAATGTAACTAAAAGAAAATAATCCCTAATTGCTGGAACACACAAATCCAACCTCCAAGTGGACATGAGATGAACAAATAAGATCTTTCTTACCCCATCCATGTGGATCCTGACATTAGGCACCAGGCGGAAAGGGCTGGACTGCAGACCTCTGGGGTCAGCCCGGCTTTTCCTGCTGTCCTGCGAGGTCAGCACGCCAGGCCTGCGGAAGGAGCCCCCTCTCCCCGAGCCCCGCCCCGCGCGCACACCATCCAGAAGACGCACAAGCAGCAGGTTGGCCGGAAGGGCCTCGATGCTGCAAAACACCGGGGTCCTGCATTCGGGGCACCTCAGCTCCTTGTGGGCCTTGAAAATCCTCTGGAGACATGGTTTGCAGAAGGTGTGCTGGCAAGGGAGGACTTTGGCTGTGACATCGAGCTTTTCAAAGCACACGGGGCACTCCAGAAGATCAAGCAACGTCAGATCATCCATTTTATTTTAAAACGCCAGTCCTGACCTGGAGAGGCAGAGTCCACATTGTAGGGTCAGCTGAGCCGAGGGGGCAGAGCCGGTCTCTTGAGAGCGTCAGAATCCCTGCCTGTTTGAGTGAGAAAGGAAGAGAGGAAAAAAAATGTGACTGCTCTGAGAGGTATATCCCACCTACATCGAGGCAGTGTCTCATGCAGCAGTTTGCAAGGACTTTGTTCCAGCACCCAAGTTGCACATGACTCATTCTGAATCAGCGCTAGCAGGTAGAAGACTCGACTCCTGCCTGCTGGAGGATCTGAGGGAGCATTCAGCACAGTGACTGACTCCTTACTCATTGCCTCTCCGCGGGGAAGGCGAGAGCGGGGAGCCAAAACTGGCCTGTTGAAGGGGCATACCCACCCCTCTCTCAGCCCCGGCTCAAAGGGTAAAGAAAGCCCTCCCACAGGCAGGCTCAATTCTCAAGTGAAAGCCCCCTCAGAATGCAATTTCTGTGAAGCTATCTACTCCTCCTTCTTTCCCTAGGTTTGTCTAGCATCTGCCTCACATGCAGACAAGTTATTTACATAGATAAGCATATCTGAATCTCTGGCAGATGTAGAATTATTTCCTTCACAATATACCTTCCTCCATTATTTTATTCTAGCAACGTCCAAGAAAAATTTCTACTGGAAACTATTTTCAAAAATTGTTTTGCCTCCATTACAGGCCATGGTACTTAGAAGTTTTTTTCTTTTCTTTTTCCTTCCTTCTTTCCTTCCTTCCCGCCCCCCCAACCTCCCGTCCTTCCTTCTCTATTTCTCTTCCTCCTTTTTTTTTTTGCCTTCTCACCCTGAGTCTCTTAGCCTCAGAGACGATATTCCTCCCATAAGATAAAGTCGCGGAGGCTGTTTAGTTACTTTGATAATGGTTCTCAGTTTCAACCGAAGCAGATGGGAATTCTGGATTGTGGTCACAGCCTGCCAAAACCAAGATGGAGCAGCATATACAGGTGTGTGAACGTGTGTGTGTCTGAAAAAATTCCTTGTTCCAGGAAGAGTTTCCTTTTGGATGTCTGAAAAGAAGTCTCCACCTTAGAAAAGTCTCCTGGGAAGAGGTCAACCGTCCCTCACAAGCGCCAAGGCCCGGGTGAGCGCAGCGGCGGGGAGGTCTGGCACGGGGGCGGGTGGCCCCACTAGTAAGAAATGCAGACACGAGACACCAGGATGAGAGATGGCGCCTGCCCTCCCGAGACAACTCTTCAGAGATGTCAGCGCTGGGGAGGTGTGCGGGGGGCCACTAACCTTGAGCTTGTAACCCTGGCTGAGTTCAGCTGAGCACGATCCTCTGCTGGGCCGTCCGGGCTCCGTCCAACGCGCTTCCTTTTCCCCAAGAGCTGCCGCCCCCGCTGGCCGCTTTGAAAACTTGAACAACTCTGGGTCTTACTCATTTCAGGGATCGCCTTACCCAGCCCTGTTAACGCTTTCAGCGCCGGGCAGCCAGCAAGGCTTGTCTTTGAGTTCACTCTCTGCTACTAATCCTTCCTTTATGTAACTGAGTCGATTTCTGGGAAAGGATTATAAGAGGCAAAATATAAGCCAGCCCCCAAGGCCAAGATTTACAAAGTCTAGATTTTCACCCTTGTCGTTTTCTCTCCTATCCACGAAGTTGAAACACGCTCAGTTATAAGCATGCCAAGGTGATTGTGTTTATTTTAAACCTTTACAAGGATTTCTTGAAAGGTCAAACATGTTAATGGCAGCTATGATGACAAAGATAAGCCGACCACCTAAAAAGTACTTCTTAAAAATGATAGTCAGGGGGCCTGTCTGGTGGCGTAAGCGGTTACGTGCGCGCACTCCGCTTTGCGGCCCCGCTGCAGTGGCCCGGGGTTCGCGGGTTCGGATCCCGGGCGCGCACGGAGGCACCGCTTGGCAAGCCATGCTGTGGCAGCGTCCCATAAAAAGTGGAGGAAGATGGGCACGAATGTTAGCTCAGGGCCAATCTTCCTCAGGAAAAAAAAAAAGAGGAGGATTGGCAGATGTTAGCTCAGGGCCGATCTTCCTCACCAAAAAAAAAAAAAATCATAGTTAATCCCTAAAGTTAGTAATTTGAGAGGGACTTTGGTGATTTTTTTTTGCTCCATCTCTTAAGTTAAAAAAAATTGTGTCACAGTAGTTCATACTCATCTTTGAAAAATCAAATCCTTTTTTAAAAAAGGAAGAGCAATGGTCCTGCTCTCCCCCTGCTCCCTACCCACCGGACTCTTTTCATCGCCACAAACAATGCTTATACTTCTATCTCTTGATTTATCAATAATACATTTCATGTAAAGTTAATTAAAAAGTTGGTAATAATAATAATATTACCTAACACCAGAGTAGCCCTTATCTGTGCCTAGTACTGTTCTAATACTTTACCTATATTAACTCATTTAATCCTTTTCACAGCCCAACGTACACTGCCCTCTTCTTCACCCTCATTTTACAAAGGAGGAAACCAAGACACAGATTAAATAACCCATCTCCAGAGTCACAGCTAGCAAGAGGCAGGTGGTCTGGGCTCTTACTATCATGTGAAGGGAAGGAAGACTATTCCCTACTCACTCAGGGTCCTTTCTGGCTGGGCTACAAATTAAATTGACATGAGACCAAATAGTAGGAGAAAATCAAACAAAGCTTTACAACATGTATACATGGGAGAAACCAGGGAAATTGAGTCTCTCGACAAATCGTGGAGGTCTTTCACCTTAAATAGCATATTCAGGTAGACAAAGGAGGATGTTGGCGATCGGGGAATCAGAAAGCACAGTAATCAAGAGTATGCAGATTTAAGTCCTCTCCTTCCCTACTGATAAGAGTTTCTAGAGATAAGGTCATCCCCCCTTCTTTCTAGTACAGAGAGGGAGATACCTTTACAAATGGAGATTTCCCTTACAAATGTAAATGTTTACTAAACAGAACTTTGATACGAATGGGCTTAGCAAGGACCCTTCCAGTCTATCCATACCCAGAGTTAAATTTGTTTAGGCAGTTAGTGGGTGAGGTCAAATGTCCGTCAGAGAAAATAATCAAGGTAAAGAGACATATTTTGAGGTGGCCAGTATTGATCTCCCACACACGTCATATGGTGATATAGCTTTAAAGGAAGAAGAGATAGTTGAAGAGAGCTAAACCTCACCTAGGATGGCAGGAAGTCACAAGAATGATGACCAAAGTGGACTCATCAACTTCTTTTGCAGATGTGGTAGCTGTGCCCAGAGAGATCAAGAGATTCCTTGAAGTTACCCTGTGAGTTAGGGGCAGGTCTGTGACCAGACACTGGGTGTTCTTTTTTACTATGTCTTCTCTCTCAACATAAGGATGACAAGTCCTTATTATACAGAAAGCACTTAGATACAACTCCATGGTAAAATCTTCAGAGGGGACCAAGAGGCCAGACTGTAGTGGTTTACATGTTTTTCAAAGTTCTTCCATGTCAGTTTGGAAAAATTAAACATGTGTGAAACTCAAAACAGGGGAGAGATTTGGGAAGGAGAAGACAAAGTCATCTGTCCTCTGAGCACAGGGGCCTAATTTGGATATGTGTCAATTTCAAACACTATTTTCAACTCTTTTTTTTTTTCTTAACCTTCCTTTTACGGAGGGGTTTTGAGCTTCAGTCACATCCCACCCCATTCTGTTGCCTGTCTCCTTCAAATAATTTCCACTTGAGATTCTGTGCTCATCAGGAAGCCCCTGGTAGTTTGAGGCTGTTTGCTCTGCCTTATTCCCACTTAGCAAAGCTGAGCTGTCTCCTCCGTGAGCTGTCCTGCAGTCCCCTCACCCTCTAGAATGGGCTGCCCCAGGGCTGGAACTCCTCCTATAGGGGGTGGGTAACATTCTCCCTCCTTCTCTCTCATTCTTAAACATACTCTATACCCTTACACACTCACATCTGCACCTACATGCACATGTACACACATGCTTGCATAAGGACAAACACACAATCTTAACAGTAACATTTATGGAGCACTTGCTGTGTGCCATGGACCAGTGCTAAGACTTAAAACAGATTATCTCACTGAATCCTCTCAACTGCCCCATAAGGTAGGTGCTGTAGCTCTCCTGGGGCTACAAAGGTTGTGGCCTGAACCCAGGTTAGTCCAATCCCAGGGCCTATGTTCCTTACGATTATTGCTTCCCGTGTTATAAAGTCATATATAAGCTGTAAATGCACCCAAATAGCTTTACTGTATAAATCCACACACATTTATACATGTGTCCATATTGTACACACCAGCTGATCTCAGAGCCAACCCAAAACAACACGATGAAGTCAAAGGATCCCAAGCTCCTTGATTCTCTCTCTCTGTAAGCTACCAGTCTCGTGGTTCCTCCATGCCCATGCATGGCCAGTGGTCTCAAAAAGCTTCAAGCCCTCCCATCCCTGAGAAAACACAAAACACCCAGCTCCATCCCAGGAAATAGATCCAGCGGGCTGCTCTGTGCTAGCATATTTGGCAATTGAAGATTCAGCAGGCTAGAACTGTGATGGTAGAATCTTAGGCACTAGAGGAGGATGGGGAAAGTTTACACTGCATAAGAGTGGTCTTTTAGCACCTCTCAAATCACACTCCGTAGGTGGTCCCCAACACCACCCACATGTGAGGTTAGTCTTGGTGGAAACTTGAGGAGAAATTTTCTTTTGAAGCTTTTGAAGAAGGGGGAGAGTTTTAAGTGGGGATTTCATCCTGGCTTACCCAAATGCTACCTTGGCGTCAAATCAGATGAACATCTTGTCCTCAAAAACAAACGAGAAGGTGAACTGTGCATGCCTTCCCAGACTCCAGGCTCAGGACACCACCCCCACTGCTCCCATCAACACTCCTGTTTATATTTGTACTGTTACCTAGTGATTACAGACTGCACTCTTTTGAAATACCTGTGTAATATTTATGAGCTTCTATTGCTTGTATTTATATCTTGATTTATGTAAAAAAAAAAAAAAAGCAAATCTGATCATATTGTTCCCCTGTTCAAAACCCTTCAGTAGGTTCCGTTGACCTTAGGATAAAATCCAAATCCTTTTTCTGACCCATCAGGCTGGACATGATCTAGCTCCTCCCCACCTCTCCTGCCTTGACTTTCTCCCACATCTCCCCCTGACACCCTACTCCAGTCCCACTGGCTTTCTCTCTTTACTCAGGATAGTTTAAGGTTTTCTGCCACTGGGTATTTCTTCATGCTCTTCTTTCTGTCTGCACACACTTTCTAGTTACTCTCTTCTTCCTCTTCTCTTTCTAATTACTCTCTCCCGTCTTTGCTTTTCTCACCCCCTCCTCTGCAAGTTTTAGCTTAAATGTCGCTTCCTTAGGAAGCCTTCCTTGAGTCTCATGACTAGAAAGTCTATCATTCTACACTACTCCTTCATAAGTTATCGCAATTGTAATTCAGCAATTATGTTATAATGATTTATTTATTGCTTGATTCCCCTAAATAGACTATAAGCTCCAAGAGAGCAAGATACATATAAGTCTTGTCACTGCTCTATCCCTCGTATCTAACACAGTGAGTGGTATGTGTTTGATGCTTAATAAATGTTTGTTGAATGGGTTTATGAATGAATGAATGATGTTCTTAAAAAATTGTGTCTGGGCAGATGCACATCAAACTGTTGATAATGGTTCTATATTGGACACCTCTTGGGTGCCACCTTGAATATTCTCAGCCCACCTCCTAATTAGGTTAAGAAGTTTTAGCATATTCAGATGGATACTACCTGGCAGCATCAGGACCCTGCCATGCACCTCTTGCCTCCTGCCCCAGAGCATCTCTGATGTTGCAATATGGGACACCCATGGGAACCTGCTCCAACTCACATGTGCACAATCCAGAAGTGTGGGCCATCTTTGACGAATGGGGAATCTATGGATAAATCCTTCCCCCTTTCATCCTTTAGAGTAGGCAGTCCTGAGATTTCATAAGGCTCTTCATAAGGTTCTGTGGGATGAGTAACATTCATCCACTGGGTGGCTAATGCAATAGTGCATCCTTGGTATTGTCTCTTCTTCGCTCCCTGTGTCACTCCTCCATCCCTAACTTCTGCTCCCAAATGAATTACCTTCAAGCAAGCAAGCCTTTGTCTCAGGCTAAGACAGTTTCTTTCAAATTTAAAGTTAAATCACAAAACAAGTGTGCAGACAGTTTTTGTCAATAACATTTATTTATTTATTGGAGTTATAATTTTAGAGGTGTGCTATTTTCATGTGACTGGCTCTTAACACTTTGGTGGTCTCAGAATCTTTGCCATAAAGTTAATCATTTGTAAACCAATCCATAAGTCCATCAAAGGAGTTCAGGTAGTTGGGAATGTAAAGCTTTATAACTGAAAGGGTCATGAAGCCTGTTGACTGTTATTAGACTCTTTTTGGCAGAGGCCATATTTTGTACTTCTTTGCTTTCTTTACTCAGTACCTACTATAAATTTGGATATATGTTTTAAATATTTAAAT